TGTTGGTTATAGTGCAATATTACCTGGTGTGCGCGCTCAATTTCGGTACGCCGCATCTCCGCATCCCGCAGCTGCATGCTCAACGAATCCAGCATGCCGTTGGACGCTGATGACTGGTGGTGGTGGTGGTGCATGGATTCGTATGGCATTTTGGCGACTACAAGAAATAAAGGAAACAAGAAACTTGCATGAGTACCGTAAAGTAGTAGCTCTCATGTGATATGAGGTTTACGTTGATAATAAAAATCTCTCATAAAAATATAGGAATAGTAGGGCAAGGTTAAAATGTACTGAATTCCTAAGATTAACAGCCGCACTCAGAGTCGTTTAATGATTACTTAAGGTGTCCCTCAGTAACGAATTGAAAAAAATCCCTCTCAGAGTCAGTTAATGATTCGTTAACGGCATTTAATGAACATTGAAGCTAAGTAAAGAAAAACCATTGCTTAACTCTTTAACGAATGATTTTGAAATTTTTTGTTTGTTTCCAATAAATTTCAATTTCGATAACGTTGCTGTAACAGTAGCAATGGCCCAGTGAGCAGAGCACTTTCAGGAGATCCGAGTTCAATCCTCGGCAAAGAATTCTTATTAATAAAATTTTTGTTTTTAGTTTTATTGCCTAAAAAATTCATATTTTTTATTTTATTTAACGTCTGGAAATTTTTTTGATTCATCTTTTTTCTTTTACTTTCAATTTCCCAAATTTTTAGTTTTTCCTGTTTTAAAAAGATATTTTTTTTTATTTCGTTTAGTTTGTAGAAAACTTACTGCTAAACGATAAATATAATAACACTATTAGGACATCTTTCAATTACTCATTCGAAATACAGAGAAGAGCTTTCAAGATAGTTGCCGAAATATAAAGACTTTTGTCTCTCGAAAGACTGAGGTGAGTTGAAAGACAGATGCCAGAATTGGCCTGTTATTGGTCTTGTTTGTCTTTTAACAAACAGTTTAATTAAATTTAAAAAAAATTGTTTATTTTTTAAAGCAATAAAATCTATAAATCAAAAGAAAATTAGATCAAAAAAGCAAAAAAATTCAATAAAAATAGTGTATAAAAATTAAACAAGAAAAAAAAGGAAAAAGAAAATTTTCCTGCACGAGGACTCGAGCTCGGATCTCTCGAATGGCACGCCAGTGCTCTGCTCACTCAGCCATTGCGTCTTTTGAGCCAGTGCGGGCGAAATGATATAAATGCTTATTTTTATATTTTATTTCAAACTGAACGGAAAAAGTGAGTGGTGCCACAAAAATGAAGGGCCGCAACTGGGGCCATACTTAAATTTTTCATTTCATAATTTTTAACTCTGAGAAGAAACATTAATTAACAGATTTAACGATCATTAATAAAAGTGCCCATTAGACCTAATTTAACGAACGTTTCTGAGGACGGCTGTACGTATGTTGGGGATAATAAAGTGATAATTACGAAATGTTTTTTCTTCTAGCGTCACCGATATCATTTCGTATCCGTCAACCTTCAGTCATTATATTGGTGTGAATCACTATTCCTAAATCCCTCGAATCCCCAACCTGAGCACATGATGCAATAACTTTTTGAAGGTAGTTTTACTTCTCCTTCTTAGCCGCCAATTAGTTTAAAAAAAATCTTTTTTACGTTTGAAAAATAAAGCAAGCTGAAGCCAAACTTATGAGCAGAAAAAAAATCAAATGATTTTCATCATAAATAAAATTTAAAGGAAAAACTAGCTGCTATTCCTCTAGTTTTGAAGTCAAACTACCTTCTAAAAATTATTGTTATCATTCTTGAACTTAAGAAGTGCTTTCATATGACTTGGCGATAAATTTTTAGCACAGTTTTTTGTTGAGCCATGATAATTTTTGTTTAGTTTTTAAAATACATGTTGCTCCTTTGCTGGAAAAGTGTCAAAATTCAAAATATAAAAAATTTCGAAAACCCCGTTTAATAATACAAGTCAAACTGGCGTACCCGACGAACTTTGTCTCGCCCAAAACTTATATTTTGTAGGAACATTTTGGTACCACACTTAAACCAACCATCCAGTGGCACATTTATCTGCTCTAAATATGGTTTTGTGGTCGTCAGAAGGCATATCTTCCATTGCTTTTTTTAAAAACCTAACGAAGTCGGTTAATAAGGCTGATTTTGTATTTTTAATCAAAATTCCATAATAAATTGTTGAAATCCAGAAATTGTAAATGGAACCGGTAATAATTTACAACGTACTCCAACCGGAACAATTGTTTAGCATAGATACAATTTTGTACCTGGACAACCATTTGAATGTTAATATTACGATCAAAATTAAAGAAATAAAAAAATAAACGTGTACAAAATCTATGGAAAATCAATTCGTCTGGAATTTTCTATTCTATTCGAAAAATTTTTTTAATTTTCGTTGGGCAGAGACACCAAAAAAGATAGCTCACATAGGACAATCCATTCTAGTGATATTCTCGGTATTACGTGAGTAACTTGGTTTTATACATACACGGTTAAAAATTTGGGTTTAATTTTTAAATCGCGCTAGGACTACTACCTTTTTTAATCTTTTATAGTCTACTTTTTAAACCAGTCAATAGTTTTCAGCAAATTTTTAATATATTCTGGTTTAAATTTTAGTCCAGGCAGCCGAAAAAATGATGCTTTGCTATGAGTGGTTTAAAATTAAAAAAAAAAATGTTTTAATTCTAGCTTTTCGGTTTCATATATAGAAAATTTGCTTTAAAATCTAAACCGAAATAGAAAAATATAGAGATTTAAATTTTTAAATATTTCGCAACCCTTTTCAAAATTATTAATTCTGGTTAAGAGTGCATTAATAAGCCTAGTATTACCTGAATACACGGTTAAAAATTTCGGTTTTAATTTTAAACTTTTTGGACTACATATATGACCAAACTAAATACAAACCATCCAAGTTTAAAAAAGAGAGCACATATGTTGGGTGTAGAATTTAAACAGTTCGGTTTAAATTTTAAACCCAAACATTTTCATAATTAAGAATAAAAAATTCCAAATCGTAAATTTCACGCTCCATCTGATGGGGATTGAACCCGGACAGCCTTGGTAGCAACCAATTGTATCAAGCATCATTGCACACCCAGCTACAGCCACGCATGTACTCATATGTTGAGTTTGAATCAACCCCAGTTCATAAGATTTGCTCTCTCTCTCTGAAAGACTTATTTTTGGTTTTAATTTTAAACCACTCATAGCTAAACATCATTTTCTCGGTTGCCTGGACTAAAATTTAAACCAGAATATATGTATAATAAATTGCTTAAAACCATTGACTGATTTAAAAAGTAGACTATAAAAGATTAAAAAAGGCAGTAGTCCCAGCGTGGTTTAAAAATTAAACCCAAATTTTTGACCGTGTAGTTAGCATGCAAATTTTAAAATGCGACTTCGTCTTTACACCCCTACCTGCGTACGCCCATGGCTGCACCCCTTCAAGATGAGATATGAATCATTAAATTAGATAAAATAGTAATGGAGATATCGTTTGGTAACAGAAAAATACCTTTTAGAAATAAGTATGTACATAGATTTAATATTAAGACGCACTTGATTTTAGTAGGTTGTCTAAGGAAATGGATAAGCAACGAGAGTTCCTGCTCATGTCTACAAAAAAGCTTATTGAGGAGATGTGATGGCCTGCCGAATAGCAGCTATATCTTATGACGTTTTCTAAACACAATTAGTAACATAAAGTTCAGCAACGTTTTTGGAATATAACCCTAATCATTTTAGCAATTTGCCAGGTCGTTTTCTTTTACTTGTTTCTGCAACTCCATTTATTGAAATAATTGCAAGAAGAATGCTTCACCGTTTTTTCCTCTGCCGAAAGAAGGGAGTGACACTAAAAAAACCACTCGTGAGATTTGCACATATACATACATACTAGATTTTATTATTCGCTGAAAAAGTTGCATTTTTTGGCGAGACATCTTAAAGTGCAGGCTTCAATTCATTTCTTTTTCCATTTTTTTACTCGAATGCCAACACTGCATCCAAATTTTAAAATAATGAACTACAATGCCTTTCATTGTGAGATCGGTGGCTAAAACTAAAGTCTAAAGTGATGGAAGCAAGAGTGGAGAGAGGACGCAGCTTTTAAAATAGAATAGCTGCAGCCAAAAAAGGAGTTAGCATAAAGTAAAAAAAGGATAAAAA